ATAATTTACACATTCAAATCCTTTAAAAGTCATTTTACCTTATTAAAAAGTCCAGACTCTATAAATATACTTGTCTTCTCATTTACTTTAAAGTCCATCCTCAGTGTGTGTGCACTGGTGGATGTCACTGTAAACGTTGAACCTGGACCAGGTATAACTTCCTGAACTATTTGTGATGTCAGAAATCATACTCGTAGGCCCCGCCCCTTAAAATCTGATTTTCAGTGACCTCAAAACATCTTTCTAGAGTCAAACTCTGCACAGACATCATTTAAACATCACTCTGGAGGAATGAGAACAAACACTGTAAAATCTGTTTATGAATGAATTTGAGTGAAAGTAACTCAAGTATTTATTAAGGCAACTCGCACCAATTCCAGTCAGTTAACTGAAGCTGAAACTAGTAAATATATTACACTCATATGTAGCATTTTACAAAGCTTATTTGTATGAAATTAAGTTCGTCTCACTTCTTATTCAGATGAATTCTGTTAACACATTTTAAATGAGTTGTTTTAAGAGGTGCTATCAAAATAAAATTATTACTATTATTTTTAGTTTTAAAATTTGTATTTATAAGTCGAAAGTCAGTCTGTACAAAATCACCTTATATTTTACAAACAAACAAACAAACGAACCAGGTGTATTACAATACAACTGATACTTATTATTATTTTTTTTTTAATTATTGTTTATTTGTTAATGTAGCAAAGAATACAGTGAGCATGTACTTCGATTACTATTTCCATTTCCCCCCACATACATTATTTATTTTATGATTTACAACCTGATGTTAAATGTACTGATTTAACTGTTTGTGTTCACATTAGCACACATGGAAGAGAGGAGGAGCGATTGTTGGATTGTCGGTGTGAAGGTTGAAGTTTAGTTGAACTCCTGGGACCGGCTCTGACACCCGGGAGGGGCCAGATCTGGTAGCTACACCTGGTCCAAGACATAGCAGGCCCTGTTCTGTGGACATGTGGACCATAATTTACTGGTGTATCTGGGCCAAGTGCAAGAGACACACTACACACACACACACAATATATTACTATTTTTATTTGATTTCAAAATGAACAGGATACTAAATTTGCATATGTTGTGTAACAGTGTGTTCTAGTACAGTGCATTTTTTTTCTTAAGACATAAACTCTCATTATATGAAAAAAGAAGAGTACATTTAGAACCAGACGTTGTTCCTGGAGGAGTCCACTGACGGAGAGACAGAGGACACACAGTGGAGGGACTCTTAGACGCCTACATTAAACAGAGAACTGAAGCAGGAGCACGGAGCACAGCTCAACCCGGCTGATTCTGAAAGGACCCTTCATTGTGCTCTTTGGATTGAGATTGAATAAATTACACAGTGTGAAAGGACAGAAATAAGATTAGGACATGGCAACGTACTGCGAGCCCGAGGTCTACAACCTGTAGCACCAGTGCCTCGTCGTTCCTGTACGAACGCAAACCAGTCCAATAAGAGTCTCCCCAGACAGAGTGTGATATCAGAGGCACATTACCGAAGGCTCGTCTCCATCCACAGGCTCCACCGGAACAGGAAAACGCCACAAATATCACCAAAAACAAGGCACAATGTTCAACAACTTAATGATCACTCAGTAGTTCGGACGCGGACACAAACTCCATTATAATTCCCGGCTATATCAGCAGCTGCTAGGGTGGAGATGAGACGTGAATTAATAACAGAAAAAGTTTTAATTTAGCTTACTGACTGAACAAAAGGAAACTGCTGCTGCCTGTAAATCTCCAACATCTTAACCCCATTCAGAAGATCCCACACAAACCTACAACCCCATATTATCATCCATATTATTGCATAGCCAGTAGTCTCCACGTCTCTGTGATCAACAGTGCAGAGGCAGGTACAGTGACAGGAAGTAATGACAGGTGGGCGGCAGACAGTAGCATGAGCATCTGAGCAGGCGGGGGGGTTCATGGGCGGAGTGTGGCGGTCTAAGGAGATTATTTAAAAAGTAAGCAGTTCCTGAATGACACTTTGGTTCAGAGGCACTCAAAGAGAGGGCACGATGCTGCCACCACCGCCGCCACAAAACTCCTCCCCAACGTACCTAAGAGTCAACATGCATTGATGGAAAGTGCACGAGCCTCCAGCGCTCAGACGTTCAGTTCAGCGAGGGCGCTTCAGTCGTCACTCGACTCCGAGTCGTCCATGTCCACATCCTGCCAGGAAGCCTTGGTGCGCTGCTCCCAGGTCCTAGCCTGGGAGATCACAGCAGGGGGCATGAGCGCCACGCAGGCCGCCAGCCCGGAGACACGCTCCTTAAAGTCCTTATCGTTCTCCCACTCGTCCGTGTCGGTGTTGTACACGTGGACGTATTTCATCCTGTTGCCTTTGTCGTGAGAGCGCCCTCCCAGGATGTAGATGCGACTGTCCAGCACCGCAACGCCGGGTTCTCCGTGTCCAGCGGGGAGGGGGGTCATTAAAGACCAAGAGTTGGCTCCAGGGTCGAAGCACGCCACCTAAAAAACATAACAACAGGAAATTAATTTCATAAAACTGTAAAAAAAGTTCTTCATCCAAATCTCTGGTTTTACACAAACTTCCTGCAGTTACAGAGTTCACTGTTTGGGTTCATTGTACAGTTTATAATATAATCTGAAATATCTGTAAAAATATGTCACTATGTCAGAAAGTGAATAATAAATAATATAAAATATGACCTATTTTACATTTGAGGAATGACGGGAAATAGAAAACAGAATAAACTGAAGAAATATATCAGAAATAAACATGGAAGAAAAGAAAGACGAGGCTCCTGTTTACTGGAGTAAACACTGCCTTCACACCACTGATGAGCAAGGTTGTTACAGTTCACTACAACTGAACACTAAAACCAGGTGTGAAAAAGCATTTTAGTTCAGTGAAATAAAACTGAAATGATATTGTGTATTACATTTAACCACACAACAAGAGGAAGCTTTGGTGTTGGTTTACAGAGCCGGGCAGTCGATGTGTTTGTAAGGTCTGAACTCACAATGAATGAATATCACAAAATAACTGAACTGAGACTTTAGAAATGAAAAACAAAATAAAAACTCATGAAAAACACAGAACTCTGATGACCTGTGACCTTACCTTCAGGACATCACGCCGGTATTGACACTCATCGTTGCTTCCACCAATTACATAAAGGCGTCCGTTGACGGCTGCCATGCCGTGCCACGCCCGCTCCACCGGCCCCTCGGCGCATGCTGTCCAGTGATTGGCCACGGGGTCGTAACAGTAGGTCTCTTTGAGGTACGCCATTCCTCTGCGCCCGCATGTGACATACATTTTCCCATCCAGCACTGCTCCGGCGTGGGCGTAGACCTGGAGGGACAGACCCGTGTTACAGGAGCATTAAAGGAGGCTGGTGTCTCACAGGAAACCACAGGTGAGTGTGTAGCACCATCGTGTGGAGGCTAGTGGTATTACAGTTCTCATACCTCTCTCTTCAGGGGCGATACGAATTCCCACGTGTTGGTGCGCGGGTCGTAGCGCTCCACCACGTCCAGCTCGTTGCAGTAGTCCCGCCCTCCGATGGCGTAAATATGGCCGTCCAGCACGCAGACGCAGTGGTCGGCGTGCTGCTGCTGCAGAGGCTGGACGTCGCACCAGCTGTTGTGACGAGGGTCGTATCTGGGAAAGATGGGAAAAATATGACTCAGCAGGAAGAAGATCTGTGTGACGAGCTCAAAGTGACTCAACTTTTACAGGATTCAGCAGGTTTCAGCACAACTGGAGACCTTTTTTATGTCCATACCGGCAATAAAGTGATAAGGACATGGAAACTCTCTATTAGTTTTTCAAAGTCAACACTTATTTATCTCAAAAACACGTTCAAAAGCGAGACTGAAACATTGAACTTTACACAAATATCATTTATGGGTCGTACTGTGAACTTGAGCATTATATTGTGATTATTTATACTTATATTTCTCAATGATCTTATTGTTACACGCTGATATATTGAGGCATTCCTCATAAATGAAACCTACCTGGCAAATTTAACTTTATTAAGCCAATCAAGAGCTGTCAAAATCATATGTAGGGGATTTTTAAGGCCTTAAATTCAGATTCTTGGATTTTAAACTTCCTGTATAAACCAACAACTGTACGTTTTTTAATACACTTAAAATAATAAAAGAATTAGTCGATGATTCAATTAGTTGTTAGAAAATGTGAGGATCTGCTGCTTTATATGAGAGCTGTAAATACATCTGTATCAGCAAAGACAAGAAGGAACAAGAGACTGCAGCACAGAAAAGCCACAGGTGCGTTTGAACCAGTGACGCCTGGCTTATTTTTAATCTCACTACATATTTTGGTGTCACATTCTCTCCTTAAAGAACCAACAGCAGTTTCTGAGAGTTTCTTTCTCACAGTGGGCTAGAAGTCCTGTACCTCTATGGAAACAGCACAGCCGTGGCTCGAAGCAGGGAGAACTGATGTCTTTTTAAATATAACACGTTTTCTACATCCTTATGTGACTGTTAGTCTGAGTGTGGTCATTCAAGGCTCCCCAGTTGTGCTGAGGAACGCAGATTTGAATTTTTTTTACAGAATCTGGTTTTGGTAATTATAAATGAGACGTGGAATAAAGTGATTTTGATAAATTATCACAGTTTTCAGCTCAGATCTGTTGGTTTTTTCCTCACAGAAGTTCAAGGACCGTCAGAAATCCGAAATTATTTCAGTTTTTAATTTAAAATTTAAATTCTGTATGTATATATCGTCATATAACAGAAGTTATCTTAGGACAGGTTTCATATAACGCAGGTCTAGAAGTTACTGACAGAGACCCAACAGCTTCTGGCTATAATAAATGGTGTAACTTTGCAATCTTTTAAAGAAAACATTTATTTCAAACCTGCCGGCGGGTTGGTGGGATTCTTAGGATTAGAGACAAATTTAAGGAATCCTTAAAATGTTAGAGAAATAAATAAATATTGGCGGATATTCAGATAAGATGCTTAGTTTCCTATCATAAAAAGTAAAGAAAATCAGCGAACCAGCTACGATTTTTGCATCTTTGCTTGAAAAGTGACTAAAAACTAATTTATGCTTTTATCAAAAATAGTTAGATTTATTTTCTGTTGATCAACCCATCGATAATTCGACCAATCATTTCAGCTCTAATGAACCTTCAACAGTTCATTGAGAAAAGCGATCAAAAGATTAATAAACATGGTATAACATAATAATAAGTTCCGCTCTGCACTCTTTTAGACAGAAGATGGGGTCTCACCTCCAGCAGCGGGTCTCTGCACGAAACCCACTGGTGTTCTTGTCTCCTCCAATCAGATAAATAAAGTTGTTGAGCACGGCGATGCCCTGGTTGGACATCCGGGGGGCGTGAGCTGCAGTCAGAGTCCTCCACTCCCCCCAGCTCGGGTGGAAGACCTGAAACAAATGCTCGCTGGCCGAGAGGGAGTTGGCGGTGAACATCCCCCCGAAGCCCAGGATACAGTGGAAGGTGGAGCGTGGCTGGGTGAGGGGACTCTGCAGGACGGGCTGCCAGATCTCCTGCTCGTGGTAGCGCAGGGCGGCTGACACAGAGTCCTTCAGCGGACACTGGTCCAGCCTGCCAAACAGCCTCTGCAGCACTTGTTTCTCAATCAGACAGAAACGCACAGCATCGAGCATCTTGAGATTGTCCTTCGGGCCAAAAAGACACAAAATGAGTTGATCGCACTTAAGGCAGATAAAGTGAGTCAAACTGAGCCGGTATACAATCAATCATTCATTCAATCATCTTTCTTGCTCAGTGTATAGTGTGTATCTGAGGGAGAGTATAAAACTGGAGACACACCTTTGGACTGACCTGCAAGTACACCTGGTCAGTTTCCACCTGCTCCGGGCTGTAGTGGTAGTGAAGAGCCGCCTCGTACACCTCGTTCTCGCTGCTCACCTGGAGCTCGTCGCTGCTCAGCGCTTTGAACACTTCATCCTGGGGGAGCTGTCGGTACACGTCGGTCCGAGACAACGTCACGATGTTCCTGAGGATGTAGGAGTGGATCCTGGTGTTGAGCTGCTGCAGTCCGTAGACGTCAGCGAGGTGATGCACCTCCAAAACGTTGCTCTCGTCCAGCCAGGAGAAAAGGAAGTCGCAGCAGAAGCTGATGACAATCTCAAGCTTTAAAACACAAAGAGGCAGTAATTATCTGAAAGGAACAGAACAATGAACGACGTGATCTTCTAAACAACAACAAAGGGCTAACCTGTACTAGCGTGGCAGCTATCAGGACTTCCTGCACACACTCCAGGTCTAACTCGATCTCTGCTGTGTAGATGTAGTCGAGTATTTTCTTCATGGCCATGTAGGAAACTCCATGAATTGGGATCTCCTTTTGCTGCGTCTCCCGAAGGCCTCCAGCAAACATCCCCCTAACAGAGAGCAGTCACACTGTTAAATAGCTCCTGTTGGCCTGCACCATTATTTCCATCAATATTGAGTTTGAACATTGTTGGAAACATTTGGGATAATGTAAGAACACAACTCAGCTACAAATAGAACATAGAGTTTATAGACATTTTAATGCAGAAATGTTCCATATTAAAGCTTTAAATAAAGTCTCATCCACTTCATTTCTTCTTGCGCAACATCACTTGGCCGCCTGCTCTCTGTCGTATGTTACTCCCCTACTCAGGAAGTGCACAGGCTGCTGGTGCAGGATATGCAGCAACATGCCAGCTCCTCCAAAAGAGAAACCAACTTCTTGACCAACCCTGGTGGCTGGCTGTTAGTCCAGGAAGTGTTAAATCTGGTACGCAGCAGTTTTCTAAGAATGATTTGATGCATCGATCAGGTTCGTCGAATTGCTGGGTGTGATGTTTACCACGCAGCCACAAAAACCACTGTTTGAATTCTGCTGTTGCACAATATCCGCCTCTCTTTCTCTGCAGGTTCCTTCAGTTTCTACTATGAAGTGTCCATTAAAGAAAACTAAAGAAAACGCTGTCGTTAAGATGAGAAAACCTCCATATGTAATCTCTGTTTAATATACTTTGTTGTGCTGTTGTTACAAAGCACATCCAACCGCATACAGTAAAAGCTTTTCTGTAAAGGGATGTTAATGTCTTATCTTTACCTACTTTTAGCGTTGTAATGGGATTACAGGGCTACCTACCAAAAGCAGGGCTCTGGTTTACTGGCACAATGCATACAGGAAAGCTTCCTCCAGCCCTGCACTAAGCTACTAATCAATAGAAAGAACAAAGTGATACACTTCTCTTCACATTCAATGCATCTGTATCGCTCCTCTGCGTCATATACGGAGTCTAAACACCGGCTCTGTGAGCGGCTGAAAGCATCACAACGGGAGCAGACGAGTAAACACAAACAGCAAAGTAAAGCTAAAAGCCGCTGATCATAAGACAATGCTGATAAGCTGCAGGGAGTCGCGTACAAGAGGGGAAACTCTGTTTGAACTGGACTCTGCACCAAACCTCGGCTCTGTCTTGTGACACCTGCACTCACTGATTAGAGCGAGCTATTGTACGTGGATTTAAACACAACCGGTTCGAACCGGAGATACGTTCAGCAGCCTGGAGGCCTCTGGGTATTTGGTCTGCCTGTATTTGTCTTTAAGTTAGTCTAAACCGCACACACTTTCATCGTTTTTGTGCAAAAACAATTAGCAGTGACTATTACAAGAACGTTTTTATTGTCTGGAGTTTGTTCTGTTCTGATTCTGTAAATCATCTCTTCTCACTTTGAGATTGTTGTGGTTGGTTCTTTTTTTAATAAAGACTAAATAACATAACTGGTTTCTATACAGGTTTAATAACATATAAATACACCTGCGTAGCGCAGTAACTGATTACATTTGGAAGAGCTAACTCGTCTCACATTGGTTAAAGATTTCTTTAAATATATGAAGTTATTAAACATAAATCTTGGTCAAATGTTTGTTTTAATGATCTTGATTCTCGCTGTCAGTGTTAATGGATTCAAATTGTTTAAGTTGGCCCTCCAAAGTCTGAAAGTTACACTGATATACTTTAATAAAGTCTTTCTCTCTCACACTTTTTGGGTGTGTTTGTTTACGTCGGGGGTTGGAAAGTGGTGACTAACTTTATAATGTATTCATGTTTTATATCAGGCAGACGGTGAACATTTGGTCCTGTGTGTGTTAGAAGCAGGAAAAATGAGCAGCGTGAGGATCTGATCCACTCTGTGATGGACGACTGGGTCAGAACATCTCCAACCTGCAGCTCTTGTTGGCTGTTCCTGTCTGCAGAGGTCAGTACCTATCAGAAGGTCCGAGGAAGGAACAGAACCGGAGACAGGCTCATGGACTACCTGCTGAAACAGTTAACGCTGGTTCTGATGATCTGTGTGTGTATCGGATCGGGACTCAGTATCCCCCGACACACAGAGCTCAGGTATTGGAGTCTATGAGGAAGGAAACAGCTGATTCAGTTTGTGTTTGAACCCAATGTTGGACGGATGTTACAGTGACTGTGTCCAACTCCTCTGATTGTATAAAAGTTTGATGCATTTGGTGTTTTCTCCTTTACACAATGACAGCTTTAGATTAGATTTTAAAACTGGCAATATAACACTGAATATCACAGTAACCCCCTGTATATATATATGTACCGTATCTCAGCCCTACAGTGTCAGGACTACATACTGCTGAGGCTCACATAAAGACACCACTTTAAAATGGAGGTGGAATAAAGAAAGTGAAAGCAACAAGTTGTTTTTGTTTTTTTTTACCTAAAATAATCACAAGAGGCTGCCAGCAGTATACGGTGGGCCTGGATGGGCCGACCCTCCACCAGCAGCTCCACATCGAACAGGATGCCCCCTTCTCTGAGAGACAGCAGGCCGTCCAGCAGGCTCCGAAAGTGGGCAGAACTTCTGTAGGTCTGTCGGCCCGGACGGCCCGAGGAGCCGGCCGGGCCGCACATTGGACTCACGTCTCCATCCTCGGCCATGGCAGGGCTCTGGTGTTCGGGCTTCATCGCTTCCTATCTGTCCGATAATGGCAGCACTCACATATTTGTTCTTAGCCCGCAGCTAGCGGGCTAAAGGAGGCTGCGGTTAAACGTCAATGTCACGTTACAGATCTGTGTGACGTTACAGGCGACGATATCTTCGTGTTCGTACAGAAGCAACCCGGTTTTATACGCCGGCTGCTGTGGTCGAAAGAGGGAGACCCTAACCTCTGCGCGGTGGCTAAGCTAAGTTAGCTTCGGTCGTCTGATTTTTTTTTTTTTGACAGATCAAAACAAGTCTGTTTACTTTTTGAGCTCGAACGCCATTGGTCGTCGCTGTCGCATTGTCCCGCCCAGTTTCTAGGCGAGAGCCAATCAGAGGGCGTTCTGTCACAACGCAGGGGGATAAATAAGACAGATCCAGTTTGTTTGTTTTAAATAAAGTCTTTATAATGTAGTACAGGTATGTTCTTTTTATCACTTTGTTTTCGTGTCGTATTATTTATATTGATAAAATAAATCTTTAGTTTAAATAAGTGTTTAGCTGCTGTGACTCTGTCTGTTAAACACAAGAGGATGCTGTTTCTTGCTTAAATATCTAAAGGGGCTGTGAGTGTCTGCTGTCGAATAGACTAACATCAGAGGTCAAAGTAGGCCCAAGTACCTTAATCTGTACTGTACTTAAGTAGAGGTACTGGATCTTTACTTAAATAGGCTATTTGCATTTTTCTATAACGTTACACCTCCACTCAACTGCATTTCAGGGTGAAATAATGTACATTTCTGGCTTAATTGTACTTTCTAAATGGCTCTAGTTACTAGTTACTACTAGTTAGTACACAGGCTGTAGTTACAGTAGTTAGACTATGTACCACCTGAAATAATGCACTAATATTATCGCATAAGTAACATTTTAAATGGGGCTTTCTTTGTCTTTATATGTCTACTTTTACTGCAGATACTTAAATACATTTGATATAGCACTCAAATATAGTATTAGTGATTTCTTCCTTTACTTACTGGCACACTTCACCAATTCCAAAACACAAAATGGTAGTGGAAACACTTTTATCTAAAGTTTATTTAAAGAAGAAATACACAATATGTCTTTGTGTTTAAATAATACATTTATGTAACCAGATAAAATCAAACACTAACATGATGATAAAAAGAAAACCTTTGATGTGCAAAGTCTAAAAAAAGTCTAAAATATATATTTTCTCGTCGACTGTTTGTTGTATTTATAATTTTTGCCCCTTCAATATTTGGTCTCCATCTGATCTAATGCCTTCCAGCTTGATTTTCCACTGTTTGATAACTGCATGAGCTGCCAGATAGATTTTCTAAGGCAGCCAGTCATGATGCTCTTTTTATAAAAATTGAAGCTTCCATATTGCTCAGATTTTACAATCTCATTTATCTTCTGCCGAGGTTTCAATTTGCATATATCATTTCCTGACACGAAGAGTAGAGATTTTTCCACTCGCAAAAACACAGTTGGAATAATCCATCACTTGATTTATTTTCCAGTCTGAATGCAGTGGGGCTGCACAGGGGAGGAACTGAAGGGGTGAACGGCTCCCCTGGCTTTTTGTCTTGGGTGCAGAAATGCCCTTTTCAAACAGCAATAACTTTTTTTCCCACTGACACACTGGCTGTATCCGTCATGTGGCTGAAGACAGTACCTTACTATCGTTCCCGCCATTAATGGAGCCTACAACAGCTACCTAAACAGCTAACATACAAAATAATTATTAGTTGCAGCCCTATTACAACCTTTGACAGGAATACTACAGTGTTAAAAACCAGAAAGTATATAAATCATCAGTCACAGATAAGAAAGTAAAGATATACGGTGAGGCATTACAAAGATCATACAAAAATCATATTGTGGACCCAGTATTGTGAGTAGAGTGTACGTATACAGATAATAAAGGCAGAAAATGATATTTGTCCTTTATTCTATTTTAAGATGCTCACATGTGGATTACTGGTTTACCAGAAAGATATATCTTGATTACTTTTGTTTTACTGTGAAATGATTCATCATAAGGTGTCAAACCATCCAAGCAGTGAATATCACAGACAGATGCACACTTCACTTTTCAATTGTTCAACATGAATCTAAAATCATTTTCACACATTCTCGCTGATTAGTTTTGCATAATCACAGGTACACACAATAAGTAATACAGTTGTGTTACTTTGTGATTGTATGAGTCTCCAAGACTGAAAGCATGTTTTTTTTGTTTTTGTTGGACCTTCCTGGAGGTCACAGAGAGACTGGTTTTGCCATTATTCAGAGTAGAGCATTCCAGTACATTAGCAGTGGGCCGTCTCCTCTCATCAGGAAAAGGCTGTGCAGAAGGCGCACCACAGACTGGAGGAAGAACTGACAAAGAAATGAAAACAAAGTGGGCTGCATTTACAGAATTAACTGTCAATCTATACAAAAAAAAGACTTTAAAAAGGGATGTTGGCTGCAGCAGTTACCGAGACAGTAAATAGTCTATGACACTGAGCTTGTATGAGCGTCCCTGTTACACAACTCACTTAACATTCATCCCAATAGAGACCATCATACGGTGCCATATAGACGGCCATGCTATGATGAGGAGAGTTGTGTATGTGCACTATTGTGGGCACAATAGGCTCTAATAGGAAATACTACGTTCAGCAGGTTACTGGAATATAAACATGAATGCATCAGCTACTGCCACTGACAGACCAGAGGACAACTGATTAGTTTGGGACAGCAGAGCTCCAGTGGTGCCGTTCATTCTGCCTGCACACCATCTCAGATGGTTTCCAAGCCAACTACCTGCCATCTTTAGTAACGCAGGAGATTTAACTGGCAAAGTATGGCACAAAACTTAACCTAAACAAAACCTGTAGCATCATTGTTACTCGCTCTCTTGACTAGATGTAGATGATTCTCATCCTATTTACAGTCTTTCTTTCTATCTTCAGTATTTTGGCCAAAAGTGACAGATTGAACGCTGGAAAATAAATTATGATCATATTTAGAATAACGTTACTATCTGCAGTGATCCTATAGTTTATTTGATCATGCTACTACAAATCACCCCATCAGCCAACACCACGAAGCCACCAACGCCAGCCAAGACAACGCCTGCCGAACGTTAGCTCTGTACCGCTACATCATTGATTGTTGGGGGTCACCCCTATGTTCCCACATTTTCAAAATTAAGTCTTGTGTTCCTACATTAGGTTAGGGTTAGGGGTTGGGGAATAGGTTGGGTGTAATTGG